GTAGAACATTCATTAAGGAAGCCATCCCCACAGCCAACAAACATGAAGACATGCTCAGGATCACTAGCCATTTGAGGTGAAAATAAAAAAAAACTACCTCACACCCATATTGATAGTAAGGATCAAAGCAAACAAAGAAAAGGGAAGATGCCGAGAAATTGGAACCTTCCTACATTGTTGGTGGGACATTAAAATGTATAACCATTGTGGAAAGTGGTATGGCATTTCTTCAAATACGAACAGAAATACTATATGGCCCAGCATGTACTCTATTAGGTATATACTGCTAAGAAATAAGGAGCAAAGCAAAAGCAGATATGTGTGCACCTCCATGGTCTCATAATAAGACTATTCACAATAGCAAGAAGATGAAAAATCTAAATGCCCGTCAACAAAAGTATGGATAAATAAGCTTTGGTATATACGCACAGTGGAACACTACGCATCTCCATCGAATAATGATGAATGTGAGAAACACGCCATGGCACGGAGGGATGGATTTGGAGTACATTATGCTGAGTGAAGTTAGTCAATCACAAAAGGACAAATATTGTGTGAGACCACTGTTATAATGGGGGAAAAATCCAGATAAAGATTTTCATACCCACAGAAATGGACTTTGATGGTTACCAGGGAGGGGAGGGAAAGTGGAAAGAGGAAGCAAAGGCCAGAGCGTAGGCAGGTGCTAACTTGGTTAAAGGGGAAAATAATATTCAAAAGTGGGAGAAGAGTGAAAAGGAGGGGGAGGCAGGGCAAGCTCTTGAGAGGTTTGACAAGTTGTTTAAGTTGTTAACTATAAAAATGATGACCTGAAATGTAAACCCCCAATTAATTCAACAAATTTTTTTTTACATGTAATGAAGTTCTGTCCACATAATGTTCATGCTTTTCTTCAGTTCAAGCTGTAAGTTTTGGAAATTTACTTTCTCATCTTTAATACCAGTGAATAAATCCAATTCATTGTGTCTCCTCTACCAATATCTCCAGATTTCATGATTGCCACCCACTTGTCTCCGTTAGAAATGTCACTGAAGACAGAATGAGTCACGCCAATTCTGAAGACTGTTTTTCCGATGTGGGAAGTAATGATCATACATTTTGCTTTCTGTTGTTAAGCAGGACAGAATAGGGATACGGGTAGGAATATTTTTTAAAAGCATTACATTTGGTAAGCTACCCTCGTTGTCGAGTGCTCTCAAGTGGTTATAATAAAAAAAAGATGAATAGAATGAAACACTATCTAAGTTTTTGAAATCATTTTCACAATCATTACGCTTGAGTCCACTGCTGCAGCCTCGTGGTCAACTCATCTCTTTGATGGTCTTCCTCTTTTTCACTCAACGGAGTCTCAACCATGTATGATGTCCTTCTCCAAGGACTTCTGTCTCCTGATAACACGCCCAAAGTATATGAGATAAAGTCTCACCATCCTTAATTCTAAAGAACATTCTGGCTGTACTTCCTTCCACACAGATGTTTGTCATTCTGGCAGTCCATGTGACTTTCAACGTTGTTCATTAACAATGAAATTGTTCAAATACATCAATTCTCTTTGGTATTGCTTGTTCATTGTCCAACTTCACATGCATACGAGGGGATTGAAAATACCAAGGCTTGGCTCAGGTGCATTTGAGTCTTCAAAGTAACATCTCTGGTAAGCTACACTAGATTCCCCCTACCTCAAACAAAACCCATTGCTGTTAAGTTGATTCCAACTTACAGCAACACTATATGGCAGAATATAACAGCTCCATAGGGTTTCCAAGGATGCAAATCTTTACAAGAGCAGATGGTCGCACCTTTCTCCTATGGACTGGCTGATGGATTCAAACCATTGACCTTTTGGTTAACAGTCAAGCACTTAAGCACTGTGCCAGCAGGGCTCCCTTACACTAGTCCAATAACTTCAGTCTTCTAGAATTACTTTACCTATTTTTGAATACTACTGAAAATGCTTACTAAGGATAATGCTAAATATATTATTAAATTCGTTTTCAAAATGGGAAAAGAAATCTAGAAATGTGAACCTAATTTGAGTAAACCTGAAAATGATTTTAACTATCCTACCATTGGTTGGTGGCATAGTGGTTACATGTTGGCCTGCTAACCATAAGATCAGTAGTTTGAAACCATCTTCCACTCCATGGGTGATGGGTACAGGGCTTTCTACTCCCGCACAAACTTATAGTCTCAGAAACTCACAGGGACAGTTCTACCCTGTCCTATAGAGTTGAAATGAGTCAGAATTGACTCCATGGTAATGAGTTTGATATTTTTGGTTTACTGTTGCTGGTGAATAATACCACCTTATAATTTTTACTTTTTAAAACCATTTTATCTCCATGCCTTTTCCAGGCAGAATGAGTTGTTGCTACTTCTGTTCCCAGGACTATTTATGCTTTATTATAGTACTTATCACCATGTGCCTAAGTTTGGTGGTTTGAGGAAAGTATGATCGATTCAACAATTGGTCCCTATTCTTCACCACTTACTGCATCTTCACTCTGGCCATGGCTTAATTGTGGGCAGAGTATACGAGTATTTTCTTACTCCGTGATTTTAGTATTGGCCACGTGACTTGCTCTGGCCCATGAGATATTGGTAGATATGACAAAGTAGTGCCCCACAGGGTACTTCTGCAGTGTGCCTCTGTATTGCTCTTATCCACATGGGAAGAATTTGCACTGGCTGTACCTCTGGCCCCAAAATGGATTAGACATGAGCAATATTCCAAGACTCACTGCCCTGTATCGGAAGTAGAGTTTTCCCTGGCATCTAGTACAACCATGAGAATAAAGTATCGTCATCTTAAGTCATTGAATTTTGTGTGTATGTGTGTGTGCGTGTGGGGGTTGTTACTTATTATTAGTGTGGCCATTGCTAAACAAGATAGAAGGCAATAACAACAAAATCACAAGTAAGGAGAAAAAGTATGAGGCAGATCAAGTAGTCCATGGCTTTCTCCTTTAAGAGATTAGAAGAGAGGCAGAAGTGAAAGAGCAGGCAGAGTAGAGAGTAACTCCCTCTTCATAAATTAGTCTCATCAATAAACAAAACGTGAAAAGATCTATAGATTAACCATATTTCTTATCCCCTTTATTTAATGGATTAGGCCATTTAATAAAAATATACAACAGAGCTCTCTAAGCGCCAGGTCACAACTAGAGCGATCTTACATGATGATGTACACCTCTTGTCCTTCGGCAATTATTGAGCTCAGAGGTGGGGAATGTGTAGCCCACAGGTCTTTTAGGGCCCATGAAATCATCACTACCAGTTAACATCACAGGCTTCACCAAAGAGAAGCAGTTCCAGCCATCACATTAGGAGTGAGTTCATTAGATGTTTGACCAGTGTGGCCCTTGAATGATCTTATTAATATCCAAATGGCCTTTGGCTGAAAAAAATAGTCCCCCACTCATGGTTCAGCTCTGTTTTTCTCTCAACAGTGGGCTGGTTTAGATAATAAATTTCCTACATGTTTTTTTTTGGATCATGAGGATTCCAGTTTCTTTTCTTTTATTTTTCAAGTGACCTTTGTTCTCAGTGGTGCCCTTCTTCCCTAAACCATTTGTGGAAATCTAAAGTAACTCATGATTTGAAAAGAGTTGGGAAACCCCAATCTCATCTTTAGTTTCAAATACTGTATATACTTGTGTATAAGCCGAGTTTTTCAGCACATTTTGATGCAGTTTTTGTGGTAGAATTAGGTACCTCGGCTGATATTCAGGTTGGTTTATACTCAAGTATATAGGTAAATTTGTGCCATTTAGCTTATGGGGTAAAGCCTATGAATCATTGCACAATTGACTTGTCAAGATAGTGTATATATATATTTTTTATCATCCAGTCAGGAAAGCTGTAACCCCTGGGCATATAGAGATACATGCTTTTTAAAACATTCAGCAAAATCTTAAATACTTATAACACTGACATCTGTCCCCTGGTGTTACAATGCTCTCAGATGATAAATGGTAAATCAGAATCTCAGTTCCCGGGTCCGCTACTGGTAGGAAACAGCAGCCACGTGGTCCTTGGAGGCGTCATTCTCAGGGAACTGGTCCTCTCAGAGCCTACGCTTCCCCATGCTGGAACGGAGCATGAGCACACCCTCCACAGGAGTCCCAGGGTTGTTGGCCATCGTATGCCAAAGGCGTTGTTCTTCCCCCTGAGAGTCCATCCAATCCACGTTTTTCCCATGGCTCACACCTATAAAGGGGAAAGGAAATATTATATTTCACGGATATTATTATGCTATTCTGGAAGGCATCTCAACTTCTCTGAAGAAGATGTGAGATCCTTCTGACCAGACTCTCCTTGATTTGATCTTGCTCAATATATGTAATTGAGTGGTGTCAGTGTGGACTAAACACTTATAATTTGCACTACCCTTTTCTGACTATATCATGAGAGAAAATGTGTATGGCCCTGTCGGTACGCTTACTTTGGTACTTTATCAGAGAAAGAAAAGGCTCATTTGGATTAAGTTAACCTGACAGAAGAAATGGCTTAAAGGGCTCTGAGGCTCTCATTTTCTGAGAAGGCCACTTCTCTTATCTGCAAAGTTTTCATCATTTTGGTGACATTGATATCATTAGTTCCCTTTATTCTAACGAGAATATTATAGTGGTAGAGTCGATCTTCACAGGGACATTGATGTTGATGCATGCTCTATGCTCCTCTATGTTTATTCTAATTATGCGATAATGAAACCTTGAAGGACTTTGTGTGTTTTACTTCTCCTCTGCCAAGGTTTTTTGTTTCCCAGTTCCTGTTGCTACAATCCTGCTTTGTAGCACCAGTGTTGTAATTTCATCAACCCTTTGAAGAATAATAGAGGTTATTTCCTTAGGGAATATTTATTTCCTTTAAATCTCAACAGTCTGAATAAAGATGGCAAGTGCTGGGCAGAACCGAAAAGAGGATAAAGAAAAGTTAGTCTTGGAAGTCCTTCCCTTAACTATCAGAAGTTTATGTTGTCTTGATATTCCTGTCCCTAGCAAAACTTGAAGTAAGTCCTCAAGAAAGGAGTTGAAATTGACTCAAAGTGTCAATCATATTTCTATGTTAACAATGACACATTCGTGGTCATTTCTGGATCAGCCGTAGCTGAGACGACATATGCATCTATTTCATGCTACACTTCAAGGAGCCATGCCCCGTCCTGTTCACAGTCACAGATCATCTCAGGGTTTATAGCAAGTCTCTTACCACTTCCAGAATTCAAACGAACTCCTCCTAGAAAGATGTTGCTGGAAAAGGCTTCCTTGTCCCAGACAGTAAGCTCTAGGCAAACGTTCTTTATATCCTGTGGGTGCAAGCCACTGAACATGAAGGTATGATTCCACTGAGGGTTAACACTTTTTTTTATAACAAGAGTTTTGTGCTTGGTGGCTTTGCTATCATCAGGGAGTAGGTAGCTGCAAAAGAAAAACACAAACAAAAAAACCCATGAAACCGTGTACCAAAAAATGGCAGCCTTAAGTAAGTAGTCATTTGAATTTTCTATACTTCCTGGTATGTGTGCCCAAAGGTGATAATGTGAATTTGATTTGCTCCTCCACTTTTGTATATGATGATATCTGAGTATTCTTAGAAGCATGGTTTCTTATTTCCTTTTTCACACCTTTCATTGTAGTTTGGATGAAAGTTTACAGAACATATTAGTTTCCCATTCAATCATTTATACACATTTTGTTTCGTGACATTGGTTGCAACCTCTCGATGTAACCACACTCTTCCTGTGCCCTCACTGGGTTCCTTGTTTCCATTTGTCCTTCTTTCTTGCCCTTTGAGCTTTGTTTGGGGGCAAATGTTGCCCTTTTGATCTCATATGGTGCTTGCATGGAGAAATACATTCCTCTCTGGTCTTATGATTCACTTTACAGATTTGTCTTTGTTTACCTGAAAGTTGATCCCGGGAGGTGGGTTGAGTTACAGGAGTGAAGGGTGTCTGTCGCACCAGTGAATCTGGTTATCTTATGAGCTTGAATTTTATTCTACATTGTTTTCTCCCTCTCTGTTCGGGACCTTCTATTGTGATTCTGACCTGAGTGGCCAGTATGAGTAGTTAGACACTATCTAGTTCTTCTGGTCTCAGGGTATGGAGGCTGTGGTTGGTTTATTATTTCTTTGAAATGGGCAATATTAAAATGTTCAAATTCTCCTTTATAATCCTATTTACCCCCTTTTGAAATGAGAAAACCCCCTGTGATCGATACTATTGAATATCCTGTCTTATAGCTTTTTGGTTCACTTCTGGGCTGACTTGCAGCCAGATAAGTAGTTCCTGACATGTTTGCAGCTTCCCATCTCTGTTGCCTGTCTTTCTAATTGACATCTTTCTACTGTACTGCGTGATCTTCAGTTTACGTGTAGGGCAGCCTGAAATTACTTGGGACTTAAGGCCTTAATGGTTAAGTACTCAGTTGGTAATTGAAAGGTCAATGGTTCGAACCCACTAGTAGCTCCATGAGAGGCCAGAACTGGTGTTTGGTTTCTGTAAAGATTACTGCCTAAGAAACTCTATGGGGCCTGTCTACTCTATCATATGGAGTTTCTATGCGGCAAAGTTGACTCAACAGCACAAGGCAATCACAAAAGGGGCAACCCTTAACAGACAAATTCCCCAGTTTCCCTGGGTTGCTTGGTAGAACAATTCTAAGTTGCATTTTACTAAAGTCCTTATGGATTTCCAAGTGAACTTAAGCTCCAGGAACCCACAGTGGTAACTTGCTCATTAACATACCTACATCTGCTTTCTTCCTTTCCTGTCTCATTTTCTCCCTTCTTACTAGTGCTTCCTGGGATAACTTCTCAAATAAAACACCTACACCTTTGCCTTTCCTGCTATAATTAAGGATTTGTACTTGGTCTTAGGCATGTGATAAACGTGACTTTGTGTGTTTGTTTGATTGGATGAAAGATATATTTCCCATTCTAGTTCTGTAATCCAAATAGTCAGAAATGAAGGATTTCTTTTTTGGGTTGCCTGAAATGGACAATACTGAACCCTGAAAGGGCTGGGCTTCCTCACGCATCTGCCCTGTTGGAGTCCTGGAGCATTCCTAAAGCGCGCTCTAGTGTCCCTCAGAAAGATGCTCTAATCGCTCCACTTTTTAGAAATGTCACCAAGAGAGCAAAACACAAAGGATTCAATGGACCAGTGAGAACAAAACACAGCAAAACTAGGTTACACATAGAAAACCATGCTTTCGCTCCCTTTAGATATTAAAATGAATTTCATAGGAAAATTAACTAGTCTTGAAGGTGAAAGTGATGGTGTAGAAACAGAGTAAAGGCCAGAATAAATAGTTGACCCTACACGCACATTGATCTAGACAGACCTTCACTTGTATTGTTAAAAAAAAAGTCAGCATTTAAGAGCAGCTTTTTATCAATCCTTGGAGAACAAGCAGAACATAATCTCACCGTCTCAGGGCTATAGCTCCTTCAATCTGCCACTACATATCCTACATTAACATTGGATGAATTGAGGGAGGGCAGGTGGGGGAGGGAGGGTAAAAATGAGGAGCTGATACCAAGGGCTCAAGTAGAAAGATAATGTTTTGAAAATGTTGATGGCAACAAATGTACAAATATGCTTGACACAATGGATGGATGTATGGATTGTGATGAGTTGTATGAGCCCCAAATAATATGATATAAAAAATAAATTTAAAAAGAAGTCTTTGTCACACCAATCAAATAATAATAATTTTTCAATAGTGTAAAAATAATATTGGATGAACCCCTAAAATTATTGCCCTGAGACAATTTTTATAACCTAACCACCACCACCCCATAGAAATCCCCCAAAGTCTTTTTAAAACCAAATAATGGTTTGGCTAAACTAGTGAAAATGTCTGCCTGGAACATCATGCTCTGTGGTGGATATCTGGATGGTGTCAAGTTAGCAATAATAACTGAAAATTATGCATAAAGCATAGAGGATAGGGAATTTATGTGAACAGGGTGGGGGCAATTCAGAAAAGGAAGATGAGAATATATTCAATGTCGCTCAATGATACATGTAAAATTATTGAACTGTGTATGTTTCACTGTCTATTATCAACAACACCAAAATAAATACAATTCTACATAAGGAATATCACTAAAAAATTGAGCTCAATCAAAATTACCCCTTCACAAAGCTATCAGAAGTGCCTCCTGACTTCACCGCTGTCAAATTTTTTGCTTCTTTGATGAATACTTCTAGTGCTCCTCCAGAGATCACAGACAGTTCCTTCTTCTTTCCCATTTTAAAGGACCTTTTTCCTTCATTAGCCACCAAATTTGGAGAAAAAGAAAGATAGAGAGGTCAAGGTTATGGATTCCATTTCAAAACTTACAAAGAATACCTGGAATGTATTTATTGCGTTTGCTGACTGATTCGGGTCTTGGGATTGTTGTATATTTTTGCATAGATTTATCTAAAAGTTTTTACCCCACTGAATTACTTCTGTATAGGTCTCTTGTGTCTGTTAAAAAAGAAAATAATTTAAAACTTTAATAGCTTTTGTCCAAGCTATATATTTTCACAGAGTATAAAATAATAAAAATAGAAATGACCCTGGCAACAGCCTGGGCCACTTATTTGCTTTTAGTGAGACTAGCTACAATAGAGACAGTCACAAACTCTAAGACTGAAAGGGGAAATTCTATAACCAACTCCTTTGATATTTTATTCTTGTATATTGTCAACTCGAGGCTCATCTCTAGAGACTACAGTTGAGGCATAATTATGTTTTGGGAGTTATAGAAACTCTATGCCATTTCAAATTTTTATCCTGGTAAAATATGCTCAACATGAATAATCACTACCACCACCAATTGCCACTTTAATTTGTAATTCTAACACTCCACTTGCGTAAACTTATTTAATCATCATGATATTCCTATGATGTAAGGAAACTGAGGCTTGGAGAAGTAAGTTACTTTTCTATGGTCTCATTGTAGATAGTGTAGGAATTGATGGAAAGAGAAGGGAAAGGACGATTTATACATTGACTCCATCTGGATTTTTCTTATGTATTCTGAGTTCCAGGCCAACTGTACCTCGAGACTTTATGAATAAATAGTTGTTGGTGTCATAAATTGATACAGCTACTTCTTACACCATTCACCCTAATCCTCTACCTTTAAGCTGCACCGTGGAAGATCCTATATCTCTGGGACTGCCAGAAACCACATCTCACAATCATGGAAGGTTTCTAAACATGAATTTTGGCCTGCCTTTGCAAGAAGCCTACACACTTCATCACAAATAGTATAGACTTCTCAACCATTCTCAAACGACAGTGATACTTAACTAACACTTTAAATGTCATATATGTAATGTGATAATAATATAGCCCAATCAATTATTGATTTCCTTTCCAAATCAGGATGCCCTTGATCAAAGTCATTGATTTTTACTCTACCTTGAAATTGCCCCAGTGGAAGAATCAAGTTCTCTGGGAGAATGTAGCGTAAAGCAACTGTCAGCTCTCCTTTGTACTGAAGGCCAATGTCAGGAGTAAACTCCACCTAGCCAAGGGGAGACAGACAAACAGAAGGAGTAAGAATGCTTGGTTTCAAACTTTTCATCCTATGTTTCAATAAAAACATTTAATTGGTAGCTTAAATGTGATAGTCTACCTCCACTCAACTATGTTAGCTCTTACTGATTGAAGAGAGTCCTTATATATGAGAAAAAGAGGGTTAGAACACTCTATAAAGAAATTAGTATGTAATTTTTAAAAATTACAGTAAAGGGAATTTTAGAGAAGATACATGAAACACATTGAGTCAGTCAACGGACATTGATTTTCTGTGAGGTATGCAAGGAAGCTTAAAAAAATTATCGAAAAATGTAATGGAATTTTTCTATGATTTTTTTAATAAATAAAAATATCTCCACAACAATAACAGCTCACTGCCTTAGAATTGGTTCCGACTCAGCTTTGAGTTGACTTCAATGATGTGGAAGGAGTAAAGCTTTGAGGATCTTCATTTCCGATGTGAAAGGACTAATAATGAGAAGAAGCAGCTGCATTTCATTGACTATATAATTTAACTATGCAAAGAAAGCCATTTGATAATATGGATCATCACAAATTATGGATGTCAGGCAAATAATGGGAATTCCAAAACACACACTTGTGCTCATATGGAACCTGGATATACACAAAGAGGTGACTGCTTGAATAGAGCAAGAGGATCCCACTGCCATCAAGTCGATTCAGACTCATCGTCATTTATTCAGACCATATAGGTAAGAACAGAACTGCTCTGAGGCTAAACACCTTCATAGAAACAAACTGCTTCATCTTTGTACTGTAGAGAGGCTGGTGAGTTTGAAGCACTGATCTTTCCATGAGCAACTGAACACAAAGCTCATGACATCACCCGAAATCTTCAAAGAAGGGAATGATATTAAATCAGAAAAGCGTGCTTCCATGTTGTAGCCTTTCAACAAACTTACTCAATCTGTATGCTGAGCAAATAAACTGAGAAGCTAGACTATATGAAGAAGAACTTGGTATTGAGATTGGAAAATAAACCTGTGATATGTAGATGATACAACCTTACCTGCTGAAAGAGAAGAAAACGTGAAGCACTTACTGATGAAGATCAAAGAATATAGCTTTCATTGTAGGTTCCATGTAAACATTAAAAAACAAACAAACACTCTCACAACTGTACAAATAAACAGCATCACAATAAAAAGAGAAGAGATTGAAGTTATGAAGAATTTCATTTTACTTTAATCCACAGTCATTGCCCATGGAAACAGTAGTCTAGAAATCTAAGGATGTATTGCATTTGGCAAATTTGCTGCAAAATACCTCTTTAAAGTGGTAAAAAGCAAAGATGTCATATTGGTGACTCAGGTGCTCCTAACCCAAGCCATGCTATTTTAATTGCCTCCTGTGTATGGGCAAGCTTGTTGTTGTTAGGTGCCGTTGAATCCATTCAGACTCATAGCAACAGAAAGAAACCCAGTCTAGTCCTGCACCATCCTCAGAATTGTTTTTAGTGAGCCTATTGTTGAAGCTACTGTGTCAATCCCTCTTGTCGATGGCCTTCCTCTTTATCAAGTATGGTGCCTCTACCAAGCACTGGTCTTTCCTGATAACATGTCCAAAGTATGTGAGACACAATCTTGCAATCCTTTCTCCGAAGGCGTACTCTGGCTATACTTCATCCAAGACAGATTTTTTTTTTTTAATTCCATGGTACTTTCAATCTTCTTCACCAACACCATCATTCAAATGACTTGATTCTTCTTCATTCTGCCTTATTCAGTGTCTAACTTTCACATGCATATGAGGCAATAAAAAAATGCCATAACTTGGGTCAGGTCTATCTTAGCCCTGAATGTAAGATCCTTGCCTTTCAACACTTTCAAGAGGTCCTGTGCAGCTGTTACTCAACCCAATGTGTCGCTTGATCTCCAAATTATTGCTTCCATGAGCGTTGGTTGTGGATCTAAGCAAGTGAAATCCTTGCTTTGCTGTATTTGTCATGATGTTACTTATTGGTTCAATTATGAGGATTTTGGGTTTCTTAACATTGAGTTGCAAGCCTTGATCTTCATCAGCAAGTGTTTCAAATATTCCTCACTTTTAGCAAGCAAGTTTCTGTCATCTGCATATCATAGGTTGTTAATAAACCTTTCTCTAACCCTGACACCACATTTTTCTTCATATAATTTAGGTTCTCTGATTTTTTTCTCACTAGACAGGCTGAATAAGTATGGTGAAAGAATACCCTGACTCACACATTTCTTGATTTTTAACCATGCAATATTCCTTTGTTCTGTTTGTACAGCTGCCTCTTGATCCATGTGCAGGTTCCACATGAACACAACTAAGTATTCTGCAATTCCCATGATCTGTTTCTGATTCCAGATCTGTATCTGTGTCTATATCTACATGTACAAATATTTCTATCTCTGTATAGAGAGGGAGGGGGGAAATACACAGAAAGAGAGTGCATGCCCTGCTGGCACTGTGGGTGAGTCATTGGGTAAGAACTGCAATTATTTATATAAATTCCAAGGACATTTTGGTCCCCAGAAAGCCAATTTCTAAAGGTCACATACTGTATTATTCCATTTATGTAACATTTTTGAAGTAACAAAATTGTAGAGATAATGGACTTGCTATTGCTAAGATTTAGGTAAAAGGGGAAAGGAGTGGGGGGAGGTGTGTTTGGATGTAAAAGGCAGCATAAAGGATCCTTGTGGTAATAGAACTTGTCTCTGTCTCAACTGTGGTGGTGGGTGCATAAACCTACACAGGTATATTGCATAGAACTGCAATGAACACATACAAATGTTCATAGCAACAGATTAATTCAAATAAAGAAATAGCCCAAGAAGAATGGAATGGAAAAAATAATGACGCATTAAGATGGGGTGGGAAGAAGTCTAGTCTGAGTTCGGAAAACTATATGAGCAAAGCGTGGTGGTGACTGTGCAGTGTGTTTCGGGAGGGACTGGTAGGAGGCCAGGTGTGATTAAGGGTGTGTGCACAGGGAGGAAATAGCAGAGAGGATGGGAACCAGGTATCTCAGATTGTCCTAAGACAAGGATATAAGTCATGGTGATTTATTCGGAAGGATAATGGGGAAGTGGGACCATAGAAAGGGAAGCACAACAAAAGTGTAATAGCAAACACTAATATAAAAGTTCAATTGAGAGCAATTTTAGCCCTTCCTTTGGGAGAGATTTCACCTCTGAGCTGTCTCAATAAGAGGCATGGAAATGGGAGTGTTTATTTTTTTTTCCACCCTATTAGATCAAGGGCTCCATACCAAACCCCTGGAAGAATTAAATTCTAGGCAATTCTCATTTCCCATACCCACAGACAAAGCTGGCTCCAGCAGCCTGGGGAGTTCCCTTCTACAAACCGTCAGGTACTGGATGTTGGTATTAAATGCCAGGGGGAGATATGAGTACAGGAAAATGGGCATCCGAGCAGAGCACTGACATCCTGGCCTGTGACAGAAGACTCAGCCATATCAAAGAAACTCTCTGAGCGCCCAGGTATGGCTTGGAATTTATTAAAACGATATTTTAAATTACTGATGCATTTGAATTATGGAATGGAACCTGGTCCCCCACATGGAAGACAAAAATGTTACTAGGAATCATTCCTGCCTCCCCAGTCTGATGACCTAAGTTGTTGTAGTAAAGTGTCATTGGGTTGGTTTCAACTCCTCGTGACTCTACAGACAACAGAAAAAACCCTGCTGGTTCTGCACCATCCTGACCATTGTTGCTGTGTTTGCGCTCATTGTTATAGTCACTATGCCAATCCATCTCACAAGAGGCCACTTTTTTTTTTTTTTTGCTGACTCTTCCCAAGCACAATGTCCTTCACCAGGAACAGGCCCCTCGTCTAAAATATATGAAACAAAGTCTCACTATCCTTTCTTCTAGGGAGCATTCTTGTTGTACTTTGTCCAATATAGATCTGTTCACTCTTCTGGCAGTTCAAGGCATATTCAATATTTTTCACCAGCATCATATTTTAAAGATGCAATTTCTTCTTTGGTCTTCCTTATTCATCATCCAAATTTTCATGCATACGGAGCGATTGAAAATTCTATCGCTTAGGTCAAGTGTGCTTTAATCGCCAAGGTGACATCTGTGCTTTTTCATAACGTTAAAGTTTCCCCCAATTAAACACATAGCTTGATTTCTAGACTGATGCTTCCTTGGATGTTGATTGTGACTGCATACATATTTTGCTGAGACACACTGTCTCACGCTTTCTGAACAAGGAGTGATCTACTTTCCATCTAAATGAGAAACTCATCTAAACGAGTTCCCAGTGCAGTCCCAGATCTAAGGTGAGGTGTCTTTTAGATAGGTAACCATCCCGCAGGAACGTATATTTACTCTCTGCCTGAAGGCAAAATAAGAGAAAGTCTCCTTAAGCTTGCTGTTGATTTTCAAAAGGTTCTCATTTTCATAACAGAACTTCGGGGAATGCATGAAAGGTAAGCAATACGAACAAAGCCTTCCTGTCTAACCTCCTAACCTGCTTTTCATATGGCTTATCTATAGTTCCAACTACTTTACAGCAGATTTGGCTTCTTGAGTTATTTCTCTGACTGCACCAGCCTCTTCACTGGCTTAGTGCTGTGAGATGCAGCAAAAACAAATATTTGTATCAAGGGAATTTCACTAACACACAGGGAATGAAGCACTATTTCCTCTGCAAAACTGTCTATTTCCTCTGCAAAAGGATGCCAGAGTGCTTCTAAGTGCTTAAAGGGTATTAATTTTGATCCCCTTGTCACCCCTCCTGGACTGGATAATCTACAAGAAACATCGTATTGCTAGTGCTGCTTGCATTTTGGCTGTGGGAAGCATGTTAGACACTGCTTGCAGCTAATGGTAAATGATTGTTACTTCTCTGAATGCTGTCAGTTGCCAGACTGCTATCTGGTCCCACCACAGGTAGGCCCTGCTCCCTGCTGTTAAGGACAATGGGCTACTTCTCCCTAAAGGCTGCTTCCTGTAGTGGGGTTCATACCTTACTGATAATGGTCTCTATAGTGAGCCAGAGAACAGGTCAAACTATAGTGAGCCAGAGAACAGGTCAAACCCGCTCAGTGACATCCAAATTAGGTTGCCATCCTGAATCTAGGAGCCGCCCTTCTTGTCACAGGTAAACCCCAATCCCTCCTCTTCCTATTTCATGGATACCCCTAGATCACCCCCTCCCATTACTCTATTACCTATAGCACAGCCCTTTCCTGTGATGTATGTCTTCACCTGTAATTAGGGGGCTTGCATGTCCCCAGAGAATATAAAAGCCTTGGTTAGCAATAAATCTTTCTCTCTCTCCACATAGACCACCAAGTGAGGCTGAGGTGAGCGTGCTACCATGAATTGTGTCTGACTCCATTATTTCAATCTCTCTTTACTCTCTCATGCTCTCTGTGACTTTACTATCCTCTTTCCTTATTATCACTGTACAATTGCACCTACCGGACCCATGATGATGTGTTAAGGCGGGTACCCTGACATTTGGCTATCGAGAATTCCGTGACTACTTCATCGAACTGGATGAGACCATAAACACTTTGCATTCAAAACACAAAAGCCAAACAAGATGCTTCCAATTCCGTGGTTCTCAAGGCTGTGACCTTTCGGAAGCAGATTGCCAGGCCTGTCTTCCAAGGAGACTCTGGGTGAGGTTGACCTGCCACCTCGTTGGTTAGTAGCTACATGCTTAAACATTTATGCCACCTAGGAATTGGCCAGTCACCAAAAATACTCCAGCTTAGCCTTAGAATGAGCCAATAGTGAGACAGAAAGGAACTTATATAGCAATGTCTTTGAATCTGCCCTCTCCATTTTTAGAAGGCATGGTACCTAAGACAGTCTGAATCTGCTGTTTCTCCTCTACATCCATCGAAGGAAATTTGATGGAGAAAGATGACACTATTTTATAGTTCCCCAGAAGTAGACTCAAGTGTGATAATTTCAGTGCAAGTGACCTATTAAGGAAGTACTTCAGAAAAGACCAGTGAAGGTCTGGGGAAAAACAGGACCGAGAAAAGAAGGAAGTTAAGCAATGGTGCTAACTCAGACAAAGTTCCATGCGTGCTAATTTCAGCCTGAGTCCTCAAAGGAGCTTTGAGGTTTAAGTCATGGCTCAGAATTTGTCCCATTCTGGGCAGAGGAGTTAGGCTTCCATACTTTAACCCCATCTAGCAGTTATGGGGTAAAGATTGTGTCATGGCAAGAGGTAAATAAACATCCAGATACTTCTGGTTATTTGCCCGTATGGGGGAACAAGATGCAGTGCTCTACCAGTAGGTTTCCAATGAGATTCTGATGAAGGTCGTTGGAGGCAAAACTCCTAGTAAACATGGTAAAAGGAATCGGAGCGAGTTTGGTATAGCACATGTGAATGGCATAAAACTCAAACTTCTCAAGATTATCTTTTCTCTCCTTCCATATCAGAATATATTGACCTCATTCTTATAGCTGTTGGGCATTACATTATATGAATATGCTAAACATAGTCCTTAGCAAATACTGATAACAACCAGAACTGTTTTTCTACCTCTGGCAAACTCAGAAAAAGCCAGAGATGCTTTCCTCTTAAAATAGAGAATGAAGTACCCCCAAAATATGGAGGTGATTACTGTAGAACATATTTGAAGTAAGCACAACAGATGTCTGGGAAAGTTTATATGTCAGCCCAGCACAAGTCTTTCAACCATTTCCAAGAAATTGCGTAGATGGATGCCACTCCGCACCCCCCCTGCCAAAAAATAGGCTTCCAAAGAGCCCTTATGTGCTTTAATGTTGACTTCACGACAGACAAATTAATGTTTTGTATTAACCAAGGAAAGGAACCCTGGTGGCGTAGTGGTTTTCACATTCGACTGTATAAGGTTAGCAGCTTGAAATCATCAGAAGCTCTCTGGGAGAAATATGAGACTTTCTGCTCCCATAAAGATTTACAGCCTTGGAAACCCAAAGAAACAGATATGTTTTGTCTGATAAGGTCACTATGCGTAGGAATTGACTCGATGGCAATGTTTTTTTGTTTCTCATGTACTGAAATGCATGTCACTTCTTCATCATATATGTTATACAGATGATATATTGGGATATATATGACATATTGGGTACTTTATAACTATGATCCTATCATGTTCATACATTATACACATGGGAGTACTCAATAGGAAAATTGGTAAATACTATCAAGTGTTATCCTATATGGTGAAGCTTTTTATTCAATTCCAATAAATTTGTTATTGTAATGACAAAATATTTCTCTTTTCATGTCATTGGTTTAGTACATTATTGTAGACTGATTTATGGTTAATATAGTACTTACCATATTGCCTATCATATTTATACTTACCGTATTTACACTAGTAATGGGTTTGTGGCTATCATAATGAGGCTTTTATATTTTATTTTATTGTCCAGATATGAGGAAGCTTCAAAAATTTATGAAAATGGAATTAAAACAATTAATTTATTCCATGAACTTTTTGAAGACTCCTTCATTTACTTCCATACATATCTTCAGCTGCCATTTACCTTGAGAAGTCTCCTCATCTCTCAAATGATGATAAGGGGGGTAGCAATTATTACCTCCCAGCCTTATTGTAACTATTAAATAAAATAACAATGCCGCTGCTGTGACTATGAGGGCTTTGCTGGCTTTTGTTGCCCAGCATTCCTTTGGTAATGTTCTACTTGGATTTCTTTTGGAACAATCCCAGCTTTAGCCTTGATGTGATTTGAACTTCTGGATCACACCAAACCTAATCACCACTGACCTCAATTTCCCTGAAATTTTGAGCATTATGAACTGGAGCTTCTGTCACTTGCAACACAAGGGCTACTGAATAACACAAGTAATAAAACCCAAAACCAAGTCCACTGCGATAGAATCAATTCTAACTCACAGTGACTCTACAGGGCAAAGTAAAATTGCCCCATAGAGTTTCCAAAGCTGTAATTCTTTAAGGAAGCAGACTGCTAAATATTTCTTCCATGGGGTGGCTAATGGGTTCTAGCTGTTGAAATTTCAGTTAGCAGCTGAGTCCTTAACTACTGCAGCACCAGGACTCCTTAACACAAATAATAGCAAAAATGTTTTGAGAGCTTGGAATGCTCCTGATACAATGCTGAGCCTTACATAGAATACTTCTTTAAGCCTGATAACCTATGAACAAGCACACCCAGATAGTAAGTCATAAAGAGAAGATTGAACCCAGGAAGCCTCACGTGAGTCCGCAATCCGTGCCATCATCTTATTTTGCCACATTTATTATAAAGAACAATCTTTGGTTGAGTAACTGTGACTTATTTTTCTGCCTCAAATTTGCTTTAAAAATAATTGCTACAAATATAAAAAGAGCTTAGTTGTATAGAATGGGCCCAAGGCATGGATGGTTTAGAGTAGATTTGTGATTTGAACTTCCAGATCACACCAGATATATAACACTTGTTATATCAACATTTAATTTCTCTAATCAGTTCTGAGATTTTTGTTTTCTGAATATAACCGGAGACCTGAATATAACTCCATATGGAACCAAAAAGTCAGGTAGGAAACCCGATACTTTACTCTCTGGTCACTCACGTGGGCTAAGGCAAGACTCCTGCTATGGTCTGAGCTATAGGTTAAGAAATAAAGAGACCTTTTAAAGATTAGTCTTGTTTTATGGATTTTTTTCACCCATTTGAAAATGAAGTCTTTCTCTTCTTAATAGGACCATATAATGGGTTCCTTCAGGTAATCCTTGGAGACTTTCCTTCAGGTAATCCTTGGAGACTTTCCTTCAAATGAAGGATACATTTTTAATAAGTCAACTTAACAGTATCTATATTAAAATTTTATTTTATCTTACTTATTTAAAAAAAAGTGATACTTGGTGGCTCAGTGGTTAAAGGGCTTGATTGCTAACCAAAAGGTCAGGAGTTCGAACCCAACAGGCACTCTGCAAGAGAAAACTGAGGTCATCTGCTTCCATAAGGATTTACAGGCTTAGAAACCATATGAAGCTGTTCGACTCTGTCCTTTAGGGTCCTTATGAGTTAAAATCGACTTGACATCAATGGATTTGGCTCTGGTAAATATATTTTTAATTACTTCTTATGTTCAAGAGTTTATATTTTAAAAGAGCATTCATATTTATTAATTTGCTAAAACCAGTCCAGGATTACACTAAACAGCATATTTTGTTCAAGGTAAAATAACATATAAGAAGAAACAATTATCCATATAAATTTAAAAAGGCAATAACATTCCTGATCAGTAAAAGAAATTATGGGGCTTACATTATACACACAATCTACATTGATAAAGTATTTCCAAAAGGAGGGGCTTAGAATATTTATTATAATTTTATTTTCAAATTTGCTGCTTTAATCTTCAGAAGTGTTCAGATTCTTTAGGTATTTGATACCAATTTTCCTTATAACCTGTCTCACTGCATAACTGTTTACTAATTTGGTAGCAACTCCTACCTTGGGCTGAAGGGCAAACCACTCATCACTTGGATTTTCGAAGTTCCATGAGTCAAAAGGAATCTCCACTTCCCCGAGGAAGCTGTTATGTCCAAATCGATCATAATGCCAGACTGAGAGTTGTAGAGTCCTTGTTTCCAGTTGAGTATGGCTGATGGTGTACTGCAGATAAGATTGATAACATCACACTCCGCAAAGAGGGATCTGTCCAATTCCAGGACAGGTTGGAATTTACTTTCATCATCTTTTATATCATCTTCTTCAGCAATAGGAATAAAGCAAAGCAAGAGAAACATTTTCTTTTTCTATATATCCCCTACAACTAAGGATCTATTCCATATACTCATTTTGTGCCAGACCTAGCACTTAATGATATCTAAACAAATTACACGGTGTGATGGTGATAAACTCCAGATATTGTAGGAGTATAAATGATGCTAGGTGATAACATTTGTCCTTGTTCAAGACTTAACATGTTTTCCACTTGCTTATTTTGTCAGCATATATTTTGTAAACTCAAGGTCTAATCTATCAGTTCTTTCATTTTCCCTTTTTATTTTACTCATAATAAGAACCCCCAGCCCCAGCAAAGTATTGGCAATGATAAATTTGCAAACATCAGATTTCATAAAGTCCAGCCGACAACTTTAATTTCAGAAGTGGAAAGATACATGTGGGAAAATAGCAGAAAGAAGATATTGCTGGGGTAGCTATTCCTTTTCTAGCAGAACATTATGGAGGCCACATGACTGCCTCCTCTCAAACCTCCAGTTTGCTCTGTGGAACCACCATCTGAGATGGACTTCAAGCTGATTCCTGATCATGAATTTGTGTCTGCTCCTGTCCTTGATCTTCCTGTAGTTCTTGAATTTGCCCTTGTGCTGCATTTGTCTTTATTGTTTGGTTTCATCTTTGCTATTCCGTGATGACTATTGGATAAACTGTCTGCATTTTTTTCATTCTCAAATTTGTCTGTTTTAATATTAGTTCCTAATTCCGTACATGCCACTCCCACCCCTGATATGCACACACATGCAGGCTCATGGCTTTCGGTCCTTAGTAACTTTCTGTTGGGGTAGATGCTGGCCCTATCCTTCTAACACAAGACACAAAACCAAATGTAATGTCATCAGGTCAACTCTGACTCATGAAGACCATATGTATTACAGAATAGAACTGCTCCGTAGATTTTCCTTTCAATCAAGGAACAATCTTATGGAAGCAGATTACCAGTACTTTCTTCATTGGCTCCACTGAGTGGGTTAGAACTGTGAATCTTTAGGTTAAACACTGAGTACAAATCAGGGGTCTTATCGCCCTGGAGCAAAATGCACAAATTTCCCTGGGGTTGACCACTAACTTATATATTTCAATTTCACAGATATTTGTTATCAGGCTAGTTTGATCCACAGTGAGGGAAGGAGTTGTTACATGGAAGTCCGTTGGGAAAAGTAATTTCCTTTAGAATTGAGACTTGGATCATATTTCATCTAGGCTGCTTTCTCTGAGAGTTTTCAAATTGAACTCTACATATCTACTATTCATTAAGCATATGCTTAAATTTGGTCAAATTTAAAACCCTAAGAAGATGCAGTTCACATCCATGCTTTATTAGGAGAACAATGAATGCATATAAGGTAACTAAATTACTTTTAAGCCTGTGACAAAATTCTAAAAGGGGAATAAAGTACAGCTTTTCAAAGGGTCATACGTAATTTTTTACCAGATGTATTAACTCAAAAGCAAGTTTCTTGACATCTCTATTTAAGGTGCAACTTCAGCAGCAGTAGAAAAATAGTTCCATTCTGAACACTATTAAGAAACCCAAAGGCATTATAATGATTTGTTTAAAGTATATGCTAGATTTGACTTGGAAATAAAAGCTCTTTTAAAAACAAATGAGATTGTGAATAGTATCTCATTCTTGGTATGCGTTACTACATGAGTGTGTATTTACCTTTAGTGTCTCATTGAATTCTGGATTAGTGCCTGTTCTGATTTTGGTCTTGCGCTTATTGTTTCGAGACTTGTCAGGAAGAAGGTATGACTTGACATAACTATAGATAATAAAAGAAGAAACTGATTATTGGAAAACATCTACTTTGCAAGAATAGCTAATGGTCTTTGATGAATGAAAGAGGTGAAGGCAACGGGTTGCTAAGCGTAAGAGACAGAGCCAAAACAAATACAGTCAATATAGTAGGACACTGTAAGTAGAATTCTGGGCCTTGCATAGCAGAGAAACAGTAAAATGTAGTGGCAGAGGGTTGGTTTTGGAATCAAGCTCACTGGGCATGAATTACTCAATGATTCACTGGTTTTAGTGACCTCAGTATCTTATCATCTGTGTCTCAGTTTACTCATCTGTAAAACAGGAATAATCACAATGTCTGTAAAGCACAGATAATAACAACAACAAAGATCTAATATATTGAACACATTCAATAAATGTAATCAATTATTAAGTGTCACAGAAAATTTCCTGGATTTATATTTCTCTCCTTTCCTAACCTAGAAAAGGCTCAATGGTAGTGGGCAATAATGAGAAAGAAGAAATAGGAAATGACATCCTGCCGATTCTACTGAAGACCTTGATTGAGGTATCCCAACAACCCTTTGGGTCAAGAGCATCATGGTAGACTTAGAAATGTACAAGATGCTAGGGTTTTAGATGACTCCTTTCGACGCTAGTCTAATTGATTACATAGGCTCTAAGACCCTCTTAAATGTAAATAGGGAAGTACGTGACCCAGTCTGTATTCATAATATATTCATCTGTTTATCATAGTACACTTCAAATAAGCTTCACTTGGTAGGTTATTGAATATGAATCAACTATTATACAGAAAGAGTTAACATGGCAGAGAGACTTTGAAATATGTGATTAGAAGATATGACTGGTGTCTGGGAACTTGAATTTCAGGAGGACTCCCAACATTTCCAGAACTAAAAGTAGCTCATTTTGTTTAAATGATATAAAGAGCCTAGTTCATGCCAACCACATGACCGCACTCTAGAAGCCTGGAATTTTGGTACGTATTAGGTAGAGGCTGCCTATATGACCAGTCCCAACAAAAACTCTTGGTGCTTTGTTTTACAGAATACTATGGAAGACCGTGAAAGCTGGAAATCCATTTGCAGAGACCCCACGAGGATTAAGCCTCCATTGAATTCCCTCGGACCAATGACCAGGGATGTGAAAACATTTTCCCTCAGATGGAGTACATCACAGAGTTAATTAATGCAGCTATAGTTAGCTTAAAATTTAGCACATTATCCTGTTTTCCTTTTCACCCATTCTGAGTTGTTCTAGTTTTTATTATTTTCAGCTTTTAGGGTGGGTAAATTTCTATGCATTATTTTGTTCTTTGGGGGAGTTTTTGGATGATTTTCTTTCCAGGATAGGTCAATCTATAGAGACAGTAACTAGATTACAGTTTGTAAGGGTTTTGACAGGAGAGGTTGAGCAGAAAGGGAAGTTGATAACAATGAGTACAGAAATGAAGAAACTGTTCTATAATTGATTGTGGTGATGATTGCACAACTCTTTTTAATATATTCAAACCATTTAATTGTGTGGTGAGTGAATTATATGCTTATAAAACTGTTAAAAAAACAACCTCTGGGTGTTGCCATCTTTAATGAGCTTCCTTGACAGGCACTTTCATTTGTGTTGTTGCAACTCATGAGAAACTTGTGTCTGGTTTCCTCTGGAATTTGCCCTGCACCTTTTTCCTTCGCTGACTTCAACTGTATGCAACGTTCTGTGAGTCTCCTAGTGAATCACTGAACTTGGAGATGCTTTGGAGGGAGCCTTCTATGTCTATATCTATCTATCTATCAATCTATCTATCTATCTATCTATCTATCTATCTATCTATCTATCTATCTATCTATCTAATCTTCTATCTTCTATCTATATTTAGTTCCTCTTCAGTATCCCATCTATGGTGCATAACTGCCCTGCCCTGTTGACCCCTGGAATCCTGAGCACTCTTTTGAATTTTTCAACTAACAGCTGGGTACTTTTTTCTGGCACATTTCCTAGAATAAACCTTAACAAGGTGTTCTTGTGTATCCTTGGCAGTGCCAAGGCCCCAGCCTTCTAACTAAAAAAAAGTACCTGTATGTAAACTACAAATATGACAGTCCTGAATCAAGTCGAGTAATAGTCTTTTTAAAAAAGTCAGATAACTGCAGACGCAACCATTCCATATGTACTTCCGTGAATATTCAAAAGTGTGACAGGAGGAAAGAGACAGCCAATCTGCTGAGAAGGGTTTGAATGCAAAGCCGCTTCTGAAAAAGAAACATATACCGAAGGAAAAGAATGCAGTGATTGAAATAGTGAGGAACATGCTAGGTGCTTACGCGTCTGTTCTCTGTTTCTTTTCATCTCCTATGGCCAGATTTCTGCAATTCTTGACAAAAATGTAGAGCCCACCAGTTTTGTAACAGTAGCTGATGTGGAGCAGGATTTCACCACTGACCGTCACATTTCCATAGTCTCCTGTTTCACTGTAAACACTCATCATGCTGTTAAGGCTCGTCTGAAACAAACGTGATAAAGTGAGGTCCTCAGTGTCCTAATTAAGACTTCACAGCTCTCACTACCCCTGCCACCCCATTTGTTTTCTAGCATGAGCAGGATCATGCTAGAAAGCAGAAAGGGCTGCTTGTTTTGTTGGTGTAGCATACAATGCAAGTCCGGAACAACACCACAGCAAGAAAGGCAGGACACTTGCTGAGAGGGGAAACATTTCCTTTGGAGGTTCATGAATATGCGTGGTTTATTCACTTCATCTCATGAGTACAGGACAATTGAGGCATTTCCAATCTTCCCATCCGAATCCCTGCTTGGTAGCTTCAAAACGAATCACTTTCAAAGTCTAGAAAGCATTGATCAGGATGAAGAAAAGCTCATGCCATATTCAGTGATAGCTGAAGTCAGATCTTTTCTCCCAGACATCCCCAGAGAGCATCCTATCAGTCTCTGGAGATCCTGAGCTGCAGCTTTCACAAAAGTATACCAGGAGAATATCCTACACCCACAACGGCTTTGACTCTCCAGCTGAACTGCTGCATCTGCCTCAAAGGCAGTCTAAGGTCAAAGCTATGTGAAATTCTGTAAAATAGCAATCCATGAAGTGAAACACTAAGCAGTAAAATAACTCACTAATCAATCAATAAAATACTAAAAACAAAACAAAAACCACACACAGGGTCCAAGTCAGTCAGAATGAATGAGGTTTCTGACCAAGCACTAATGACTTAAGACATATTTTGAATTACTGTAGCAATAGTTTCCTTTAATGACCGAAGTGAAACTGTTCTGGCAATTTAAGTATCACATAGAACACTTTTAAGAAAGATTCAGTAGTCTCAAAACTCCTTGGCTGGAACCACTATGATGAGTGAGTGGGACAATGGAAACTTAGTCTTTCTGCATTTTTTATTGTTGCAAAAATATGTACAACACAACGTTTGCCTGACTAATATTTTCCAGGTGAACAATTTAGTGATATTAACTCCATTGATCATGTTGTTCAGTTACTACCTGTGATGGTTGTCAAATTTCCCTTCATCATAAACAAATACTCACTGCTTCCCAAACATGGGTCTCCTCACCACCCCCATCTTACTCCTAGTGAGGGCTCCTAGCTTTGGTCTCTTTACAGTTGCTTATTCTTACTATTTCATACCTGTGAGATAATGCCCTATTAGTTCTTTTGTAATCAACTTATTTCACTGAGCATGTGGTTTTTGCGTTTCATCCTTATCAATCAGGACTTTGTTTCTCTTTATGGCCAAGCCATTGTCAAGTGTTTGTACGTACCACATTTCCCTTATGGACAACTAGGCTGCCTCCATCTATTAGCTATGGTGAATAGTGCTGCGATGAGCAGCAGTAGATATCTTAGTTATTTGGGCTAGGATGACCGAAACACCACAAAGAGATGGCTGCAACAAACAAATTTGTTTTCTCGCAGTTTAGGGGACTAGATATCAGAACTTAGAGTACAGGCTCTAGCACAGTGGTTCTCAACCTTCCTAATGCCGCCACCCTTTCATACAGTTCCTCATGTGGTGGTGACCCCCCCAGCCATCAAATGATTTTCGTTGTTCCTTCATAACTGTCACTTTGCTACTGGTATGAATCAGGAGAGCCCTGTGAATGGGTCCTTTGACCCCCAAAGGGGTCGCGATGCACAGATTGAGAACCACTGCTCTAGAAGGTGCTCCCCATTGGTTCTGAGGGAAGGTCTTTATCTCTTCAGCTTATTTCCTGGTTCCTTGGAGAGCTCCATTTGTTTGACACCAAGCTCCCCCATCTCTGCTCCGTTCCCTTGCTTGTTCAGTCCCTTTTCTGTCTCAAAAGGGATTAATTTAAAACAGATTCTACACTTCTGTATACTATGTCTACCTCACTAATATAAAAAAGAACACCCATTCCTAAATGAGATTATAACCACAGGCACAAAGGTTAGGGTTTACAACCTATGTTATGGAGGGACACAATTCAGTGTCTGATGGTGTAAATGTGTCTCCTCACTTATTTTTTTTTCAAATGGCATCATGATTGTCCGCGTGATCGGAATAGAGACTGATGAAGGATGTGGATGAAATAGCAAGTATCTCCACTAAGCCTCAATCAAGGGCAGGAGCAACCAAGGATTCCATAACTATTTGCACATGACCTAATCTGTCTTTCCTATGCCTAAAGCACCGCAACAGCAGTTTTGTGCTAGCACGTGACTTTGAGTATTGTTTCTCAAATTTCAATCTTCTATTAATCACTCAGAAAACTTGTTAAAATGAAGATTGTCCTTGATTCAGGCTGGGGTGGGGCCTGAGACTGTTTTTCTAACCAACTCTCAAACCCATAGGTCCCAAACTGTGTTTCAAGGTACCCCAGAACACCACAGTATATTCACAGGCACACCACAGGATATTCGAAACTTTAAAGCGAAGCAAAAATAGCATGCAAACTACCAGCTAGTGGTTCGCAGAGTCAGCATCAGATTTTTCTTCATTCTTTTCACTGGAGCCCAAGCTATGCAAGGCCCCAGCTATGTGGGCAGTTGCTCAGACAAAAAAATATTGCACGAAAATCAAAGAGGAACAGAAAACAAGGGTGGTAAGTCCAATTATATTTCAATGTTTGAACTGTTATATAGTGTCCAATAGACACACAGCTGCTGTTAGTTAAGAACAGAGGTTATTTACGCAGGAGATGTAGTATTTTTTTTCAGTTTCCATGTATATATATAAAGTTGTTATATATTCCATGTATATATATATATTAAGTTGTTAGGTGATGAAGTGTTTATTAAGTTGTTCAGGTCTAATTAATTAGTAAATGGACCATAAGGTGTTACTTTTGGTCTACAAGTTCCACGAGAAAACAATTGTGTTACAGATGAGGCAATGTTGCTGGTTCACAGACCATACTTTGAATATCGAATGTTTTGAAATGATGGCACAAGGTCCTCATGTTGCAGATGAGTAAATCCTGGATTACAGAAATTGTTAGCACTGTCTAGAGTTAAACTAAGATCCTCACATTTCTAGGGTGAGGCACGCCCCACATTTGAATCACTGACTTATAACCCTTTATAACTGCTGGGTCCTTTCTAAGTAAGTGACTCCAATGAACAGAAGGACATTTAGAGACTGATGCCAATGTTGCTCCCAACCGTACATTATGCTCTTAAATAAACCCAAGTTGTGATTTTAAACAGAGATATTTGTCCCATTAATTTGTTAACAGTAAATTATGGAATGCCATGTGTTTTCTGGCAGGTACACAGATTCTACTGTTTAATGAATATTCTTTTTAGGAAATTGGATTCTGACAATCTCGTTAATCTTTTTTTATTTTCTTGTACCAAGCATTTCAGAGCCAGTTTGTTACTCATAATAGTCCCAAACACAGGTAAATGGAGAATTTGTGATATATTCATATAAGGTCTCAAACCACGAACCCCAAACCAGCTACTGTTTGATTCTGACTCATGGTGACCCCATGTGTGCAGAGGAGAACTACTACACGGGGTTTTCAAGGTTGTGACCTGTGGAAGAGAGCCAGGCCTCTCTTCTGAGGTGCATTTAATGTGAAACCATTTGCTCTACCCAGGGATATTGATGGTGTTAGTTACCGCTGATGCAATTCTGATTCATGGAGATCCCATCTTTCATATATCTTTTAAAAGAGAATCTCCGGTTAATGGTCCGCACATCATAAAAAGATGGATGCTCGAAGCTGCCCATCTAATCATCTTTCCCCCCGCCATAACACTCATGAAATGTTGTTGGAAAGAAGAGGAAGAGAAGTCTGCAAACTCACAGTGTCTGAGTCTGCATCAGGCACATTTAGGTAGGTCCACTTCCTGTCAGAGGCTGCTTGAGAATTCTTTCAGAAAGTTTCCCAAATGTCAAAAGAAAGAGGGTGTTAGAGAAGCAGACAGAAATTAGAGAAGCAAAGGAAACGATGTTCAGGCATACAGATAAATACAAGGACTCGGGGGCAGCTGAAGCCAAAGCCTTCCTTTCAAGGAAGATCATGACATGAAAGTAAGGAGTACTACTTTAAGTCCATAAGCGACAGATGACGGCTGAGGAGAGAAACTTGATGGGGTGTCAGTGTAGGGATGGATGGGGAGTTGACAGGAGGGTGACAGGGAAATCTGTCTTAGTTCAGAAGTTTGAAATAGTTCATACACTTCAGCTGATGAGAGTGTGAACCAGAAAATAAGAAGATTTATAAACTTGAGGAGAGAGGGGGAAGGAATCAGGAACCCTAGCAAAAGCCCTTACAAACTGACACTAAAAAGTATTTCGGAGGCAAAGGGTGCACTTCCTTGCTCACTGCACTCATACCTTCTTTGGAGCTGCACCAGGAGCCCTGAGGCTGTAGTGGGTTACAACATGGGTTGCAAATCGCAAGATTAACAGTTTGAACCCACCAGTCACTCCATGGGAGGGAAATGAGGGTTTCTGATGGCATACAGATTTACAGCCTCAGAAAACCAAAGGGGCAGTTCTACTCTGTCCTGTTGGGTGACTAAGAGTTGGAATTGACTAGATGGAATCAACTCAATTGCAGAGGTTGAGTTGAGTTGGAAATGCATAGAAAATTAACAAGACAAAAAAGGAACTCCTAGCATGTTTAGAAAATTGCTTACAGTTGAAAGGCCACTTGCTAGACTATGAGTGTTCGCAGAAAATCGGGAGGACACTAAGTCATCAATGCCTTCTTCAGTATCTTCCAAGGAGTCCTACAGAAGGAGGAAAAACAGTGGTCCAGTTGATTTCTTTCCTAGAAAATGTCTTTTCACTGTACAACCAGCTTTCTTTCCTAACCACTTGAAAATCAGCAAACTCCTAGGTTTTTTCCCTTACCCCTGTAGTCCATCTGATCATGTCATCTGAAGAATGGGAGTGGATGGGAGTGGAGGGGAGGTGTCCTTCAAACCACAGAGCTCTAGGCTTGATTTCGATCTTCCTAATCTCTAGGTTAATTCACTTTGGACAATGTAGGTAGACTATTTTCTTTCTTTCTATTGTGGTAAATACAAGATGTAACAAAATATTTGCCATATCAATATTTTTTCAGGTGCAATTCAATGACATTAATTGTGTTCATCGTGTTGTACAATCATCATGATCCATTATCGATTTCCAACTTTTAAATTTAATTTTGGGAGGTGTGTGTGTGTGTGTGTGTGTGTGTGTGTGTGTCTCTGTCTGTCTGTCTGCTCACCCATATCTGTATCTATCTGTACTGGCAGATAGGGCAATATGTCTCAAAAGTCTCTCCAATATAATAAAGTATTACAATTGTTCTCTTCCCACTTCTTTTTCTCTCTTCTGATAGAAATAGCTTCACTACTTCTCCCCCCTTGTTACTTAAGTTATTCTACAGTAAAAATTCCAAGCAATATTACCCACTGCCATTGACTGGATTTTACAGGTAGATAATCTTATCTCCTTATGATAAGGTCATCCTTCCTAGTCTGTCTTATTTGGGGTGGATAATCCTGCTTTTATTTGAAATATCTGTGGAATAGCTTCCAGAATGACAGCAATCCCCTCAGTGTAACCGCACTCTTCCTACTTCCTCCTTTGGTCCCTCGTCTTTATTCACCCTTCTTTCTTGCCTTTTAATTATATGATATAGCTATCAAAATGTATACAAAATATAAATATGTAGCATAATAATAGCAACATAAAATGTGAACAATTAGAAGCCTCCTTGCATGTCCTATCGATATCATAAACCCCCTTTTTCTTCCCTGGAGATAATCATTTTTATGGTAATCATATCTTTGCTCTTTTGAAAAATAGTTTTAGTACCTATGCACACACAATATGATTTAGTATTGCTTATTTTGAACAGCATCACAAATGGAACTATATGTTATATATCATTTTGTGCTTTGCCTCTTTTGCTCAACATTAGAGTATTAAGATTCAAACAAATTGATGCATGTCACTATAGTTTGTTCACTTTTACTATTATGTAATATTCCATTGTATGATATCCCACACTTTATTTAGCCTTGCTCCTGTGAATAAATATTAGTGTGGCTTCCAGATTTTTTTATTATGAAAAATACTGCTTTGAAGTGAAAATAGATAGAAGTCTTCCTTGGGAATATCCTGGAGAGAGGAATTGCTAAATCATAGAGTATATATATTTACATATGCGTTTGCATATTATTTTTTAGATAATGTCAAATTATCTGGAGCAGGTTTACCAACTTACAGTTTAACCATCTTTATACGAGTAGTCCCTTGCTCTATATATTTGCCTGCTCACATTGGATATTGTCAGTTCTTTTCATGTTTTGAAAATCTGGTGGATGTTTAAAATCTTCATGATTTTAATTTACATTTCTCTGTTAACTAATTAAGTTGAGCATCTTTTCATGTTCATTGGAAGATTATATTTTCTGTGTGGTACTTGCTCAAAATGGAGTCTTTGGGTAGTGCAAATGGTTAATGTGCTTGACTACTAGAAGGAAGGCTGAAGGTTCAAGTCCACCCCGAACATCTAATTATCTAATGCTGAAAATTCAGCCATTGACACGCCTATGGGGCACAATTCTCATCTGACACACATGGGGGCTCCTTTAGCTACAATGGACTCAACAGCAATTGGATTGGTTTGGTTTGGTTACTTAAGGCTTGCTTTAATGTTTTTCCCCCCTTAATGCTTTAAAAGAGATCTTTGTGACTCTGCATACTTCTCCTTTGTCAATTATATGATTATTAGTACATATAGATTACCCCTTTTGGTGACTGATCTGTTTCCCTTTTCTGAGTGTATATTTTAATAAATTTTTTACTTAATTTTAATATATTCTTTGTTATCAATCTTTCCCTTTATGGCCATTTTTTAATATCAAGTTGACAAAATGTTTCCCTGTCCATAAAACAATTTTAGGCCAAAAACCAATTTTATTTCCTAAAGCTTTATTGCTTTATCTTATTTAGATCTGGAATTTATGGTTGTATTTGTCATGACAATGAATAAGGAAGACTGAAGAAAAATAGATTCTTATTTTTTAAAATGGAACCCGGAGCCCAGTAATTATTACTCATAATCAGTCATTGATTTATGGCACGTTCTCATCTTTGATCTGTGCATTGTTCCCTTTTACTTACTTATTTAAACAATGTACTAAATATCCATGCATGAATTGTCTGACAAAATTCAAACCTTGAGTGGGAGGGAGATTGGAAGAAAACCTTGATAGTGCTTTGAAGAGCTTACCAAGTCATGGTCAGTTTATTGTCACAGACAATTATTAAGGGGAATAAGTGGAATAACCAAAAAGAAAATCGATGATATATTGTTAATTGTTGAAACTAGGTGAATGGTTTATTATATTAACCCAACTCCTGAAAACTATTCATCTGTTTTAATTTCTTTAGAGAAATAAAAGCTATTTCACATAAATGTAATTATGCAATTTGTAGTATTATTGAGTTTCTTTCAATTCAATATAATGTTTTCAAAATCTTATTATCAATTGTATTTTAATGCATTTATCATGTCATTCCGTAGTTGAATCATGTCAAGCAGTATTGTACAATTGCTACTGTAATCAGTTTCCAAACATTCTTTTCCTTTCTGGACTCCTTGACATCGTCTCCCTTTTACCGTCCCCCTCACCCCCTTAATAAATTTAAGATTCATCCATGTTGTAGTATATGTCAGTACTTTCTTCCTCTTTATTGATGAATTTTGGAATGCCATCCACACTGGATTATTTGGTGGACATCCAACCTTTTCTGAGTTTGGGGTTCTTATGGATAATGGTATTAGGACTATTTATGCACATATCATTGTGTGGATATATGGCTTCATTCGTTTTTGGAAGAAGTTTAATTTTTAGGTCATATCGTAATTTTTTTTTTTTGCCTTCTTAAGGAACTACCCAACTTCTTTTTCCAAATAGCTGTGCCCTTTAAAAAATTCTCATCAACATTGCTCTTCTTTTGTGATGATTTTAAATTAGTTTCCCAGTCTGGTACATTATATTAAATAGCATTTAGTTTTAATACTCAAAATTTCCTGGCTTGCTTTGGAAAAACTGTATTAATATTTAGCATGTGTACTCTGTCTTTCTTCCAAGGAATGTGATTCCTTTATAGCAGTTATCTAAATCTGTATATCAGAATATCAGGGCTGGAAGATATCTTAAGAGTAACCAGATTCAACCATCTAATTTTACAATTGAGTTCACTGAAACTTAATCTTCACATAATTTCATTTCACATACAAAGGTAGCTTTGGAGGCAACTTGAGTTATGAAAATGTTCATGTAAAATATACAATCAGATTAGTACAATTCCATTTAAGAAATACTGGGATTCTTTGTTTCTCAGATTTAGTCCTTGAGAACCCCACTAGATTATCCTTAGAGATAATCTTCATTCAGTAACCTTATTACTAGCTCCTTTTCTAAATGGTTCTTTCCGTTGCTTTTGTCTACCAATGGTGACGACTAGCAGGAGGAGAGTATTATCGATGTTCACTTGACTCTCAGTTCATCATCACCTAACAGTAGTTCGTTTTCCAGCAAGATTATGTCCCTGTTTCCTCATGATCATGAAACTCTCTTTCACATTCAACTTACCAAATCTTTGTCTAAAGCCCCAGGGACAGACTTGATTCTTATGCTTACAGTACCCTCTAGATCTTCTGAAAACGACCCACTCAGATCTAATTCAGATTGACTCTTGTCTGCAGGGAGGAAGAGAAAAGAGAACAATGTGAATTGACTTATTTTGTTAAACACTCTTGTTTTTCATTGCAAAATTTTCATCTTGATTCTAATTTTTCTATGCTGCTGTTTTAAGCAGTGATTTGGATTTTGCCTTCATTTGAATTAATCATACTGATAAGTACATTCCTCCTTTCTTCACAGTACTGTAAATGCTCCTACAGTAAAATGGTAAAATGTAAGCTGTTTAAGGCTTTTACTTTACCTTTAACTGAAAACATCTCATAGGGTGGGCCTGGATGCTTAGAAAAATAAAACATTACATCTTCTTTATTTTAGTAGTTATAGGAATTACTGTTTTATATTAGCCATAAAATGTTGATTCAATCCATTTGAAAATGTTAGTTATAAAATAATGACAGCCAATTCTCTTCATGAGAAAAAAAGAGTGGATATAGTTAAACTAAGAGGAAATTCTATTTCTTTTGGAAACTATTCTCTGTCAATAGTAGAATATATTGCTTTCAGTTTCAAATCAAGTAAGTTAAAGAACAGTGCACCCCTTAGTAATGCTGTGGACAGGTTACTATGTCAAGGATAGTTTAGTTGCACAGAATAGTTCTATACAACGGCCCTGCTGAGACCGACTCACAAGCTAAAACTCACTGCCACTGAGTTGATTCTGATTCTTAAGGACCCCATAGGACTGGATAGAACTGCCTCTCTCTATGTGTTTCTGAGACTAGCTTTTTTGGGAAATGACGACATTTTTCTCCAGCAGAGTTTTTGGGGTATTCAAACTGCTGACTTTGAGGTTAGCAGCCTAATGCACAACCCATTATGCCAACAGGGATCCTAGACACAGCTGCCTATAAATAAGCAAGACTGAAAAGAGCAAGCTAGACTTATTTCTGAATCCACAATTTCAGCTTGAAATAATAAATATGACAATGCAGAAGTGCTTAAGTCTAGTGCCTGTCACAGTATATGTGTAGTGGCATATAGAAACTGTAAAGTAGACATCTACTCTATTACATTTTTTTCTTTTGACTAGCAAATTGCTTTTCCACTTCATTTTGCATTTTCATTTCATTTCACTTCCATTTTTCATTCCAATATAATTATGTGACTATTTGGAAGTGCCCTGGTATTTGAGTGGCACCCTGGTGGTGCAGCGACTACTTGTTGGGCTGCTAACCAAAAGGTCGGTGGTTGGAAACCACCAGCTGCTCCAGAGGAGAAAGGTGGGAAACCAACAGGGACCGATCTACCAGGTCACTGGGAGTCGGCATCAACTCCATGGCAGTGAGGGAGGGAGGTATGTTAGGGTATCAAATGAAAGGAATTATTATCAATACCTTACAAATAACTCCTCATTTCGTCCTTAGAATAGTTTATCGGTCTTGATATCAGGACCTTCTGACTATTGTATCACTTGGTCTGCCATTTCCTTGGACTCAATGGAAGTGTCTATCTGTTATTAAATGCATTCTAGGGCCAAATGTATTTCCTTTACTTCTCTTTTTTTCCCCCAGGAAAAAATTGATTTATCTTGTTGTTGTTGTCATTTACGATATACATAGCAAAAACATTAACAATCCATGTTTTTACATGTACAGTTCTGCACCTTAGCAATTATGCCTAAGGCATCACTTGCGTCTATCTTCAAGCAATTTTCCAGAAATAGGCCCACCACTGTGGGCCAAAGAAAGGATGATTATTTTCTAAGTATCAAATGGATGCTAGTCAATTCTACCTGATTTAGTATTTTTTTTTTAACAACAGGGGAATATGTTGTGTATTTCTCTCTCACCTGAGGAGAGGGAGGCCCCTGATACTGCTATGGAAGGTGTGCCCGACGGATTTCTGTGATGGCGCTTTGTGAAGTCTTCAGAGGTACTCTCAATGGCATCCAAATCCATGGGATTATTAAAATTATGCTCCTGTTCACAAAGTCAAAATGAGAAAACATCATATGGGCTTCAAATACTGCCATGTAAATATACTTCTGCATAAGCATATGTGTGTGTATTACTTTAGGGGCAGCTGATTTTAAATTGATGGAACCTCATCAGGTTCCATAATTGTCAAAATTACTATCAAAACTGGGTTGAGATTCAATATTTATGCAAATGATAGAATGATTACAATAATAAGTAAGCATAAAAAGCCTTTAAAACTTTTTCATATGCAGATAATCCCAGAGCCTTACAACATCATAGAGTAAGGAATTTCCTCTTTGTGGTCCTATATCAACCCTCATGTGAGACAGGGGAATTTAATTACCTTACTCCAAAGAGATGAGGTTTTCACTTGTCTAACAGGCTGATCAACTCAACTTCAATACATACTATTTCTAGTCTTTCAATATTCTTCAAAACATAATACGTGTAAAAACAGGACTTCTATAGCAATCGATTCCCCTAATTGACATAGATTATCAATGTTTATCAAATGAGATAATTAAACTTTATTGTGCCAACCTGGCTGACAAACACATATGGGGTTAATTGAAGGGTGGAGAGATAAATGGCTCGGTGAGCCTTGCCTTTTGAGTTCTGGGGTCTCTTGTTTTCTGAGGGTCAGACTGGGGTGCAGCTGCCTTAGCAGTTCCCTGCTTCAGCTGGCAAGGCTCATTTCCTGCAAGACATCCCTGAGGAGAAGCCACATGGACCTACCCCGATGCAGCCCTGGGTCCTAGAGCAGCCGTGTGGAGACCCCTGCCAGCGCTGAGATTCTTACACATTCACTGATTTGGCTTTCCTCCTGCAGTCGGCATCATTACGTGTGCTTTGTGAGATGGACGAGGACTTTGTGGATTGGTGTTGGATATATGGGTTAATGGGTTAATGTTGAACTTGTGGGCATGGGGAGCACTGGGTTGGGATGTTTTCTTGATGTGCACTTAACCTTTATATAAAACTCTCTCTTATACATATGAGTTTCTGGGGATTTGTTTCTCTAATGTACCCAGACTAACACATCAAAAGACTGTAACAGAGGTCAAATGGATAAATCCATTTAGATATGTCTTCAACACTTTCTCTTCAGTACGTTGCTCACAACATGGAATCCTCCATTGAAGGCAGACTAAGTTCCTTAGTGGCAGTTATGTAAATAGCAAATTTTCCAACAAAAGTCCTGGAAGTATCATTAAGATCGGCCACTAATGGGTCAGTCTATATTGTACAAATATTCAAATGCAATATGTACCTTGCAAGCTCAAAATACCACACGTAAAATGAGCACATTACATCATAACAGAGGACAGGCTAGATACTTTTGTGTTTCATGTGTTTTTCATTTTGAAAACTTACCTTTTCATTTAAACACACATGCTAGAAGCAGAAAGGAACACCGAAGCATTTTGAATATGAGAAAGGGGAAATATTGCAAAGTTGTTACCTCAACCATCATCTAACTCTTTACCCATCTTCCCTTTGCTGTGAAAGAGTGCACGTTCACTGTTGTGCCATCTTATGACTACTTAACAAGAAAAGGATTTCCTTATTCTTTCTCTCCCGTTCATTGGAGAAATGGGATGCAAAGTTGAGGTAAATCAGCATAGAAACTGCCTACGCATACTCAGGAGCTCTGGGTAAGCACTTGGCTGCTAACTGAAAGGCTTGCATTCAATCCCACCAGCTGGTTTGTGGAAGAAAGATGTGGCAATTTTCTTCTGTAAAAAGTACAGATTTGGAAACCATACTGGTCAATTCAACTCTGCCCTATAGCATCAATTTGTGTCAGAATAGACTCAGTGGCAATCATTGTTGGGTTTTGTTGTTTTATGGGACGTATGCTCAATTGCAGTAAGCTTCTGTTGGGAAAAATCTAGGTGGCGTTTAATAAAGAAATAGCATAGAGAGGCTTCTCAGTTCGAGGGTATTAGAACATGTTTTTCTCCCCTAACAATCTCTCAACTAGTACTAGAGAAGATAATACCTATTTCAAGAACTCAACTAACTTAGTTATTATTAGATTGACAGCTGCATAAGCATAAAAAAATTAAAAAATATGTCTCAGTCAGCAAACAGCATGACGTCCGGTCCCCCCCTCCCCTATATTTCCTCTCTTCCATAACCCTACCTCTCCCCACAATATGAGTTAATGCACAGCTTGGCAGGATGCTTCATCAGCCCTATGCTAGTTTCTCTTCAGATTGCTCAGTGCTTCTGCCATACCAGCTGCTAAGTATTTTGTATACCATTCCTTGTTAGGTTACCAAGAAGAAGCAGCATCAACAACCTATGTGCTTTTCTTGTTATTGAGCAAAATCTGTCTGTTTAATTTACCATACATATTCATGAAGTTTTAAATGGGCATTTTATCTAAGCAGTAAGTACAATTTAGACTGTGTTTAATGAAATGTATTATGATTATTTGGGCTGTTTGAACGCCTTTTGATTCCTCCTTCAAAATATATACTTAAACTGATTGTTGCACTTCTACGACTATGTCCCTGTTTCAAAGTCCCATTATCGCATGTCCTTGAGTATGGGCATGGCATCTTAACTGGTCTTCTGGGCTCCAACCTTGTACTCCTACTTCTGCTTTTCAGCACAGTTTCCAGACTCTGCTTCAACAGAGGGTAAATCATGGCACTCTGCCGCTCAAAATACTGCGATAATGCCATACCTTTGTCATTCAGAGTAAAAGCAGAAATCCATACCGTGGTTAGTCTATGAGGCCCTAACTGGCCCTTTAACTCCTTGAAATAATTTACTAGTAGTCTACCTTTTGTAAAGTTCTAGTGCTAGTAATAGGCACATAGACCTTGCTCTTCTTGAATACACCAGACATGTTCCAATCTCAGAGATTTAGCAATAGCTGTACCCTGAGAGAACATATTAAGATATTTTAAAAAGTGACTGTGCAAGGACATTGACTTCTCATAATGGAGGTTAGTCATAAGTAAGCAGGACGGTCTTCCTGTGTGCATCTGCTGTCAACCAGTGCTGCATTCCCTGGATAAAGCCCTTCCCTCAGACACATGCAGGGCTAATCCCTTCACATCCTTCAAATCTTTGCTGAAACGTTGCATTCTTTTTGAGACCTGCCCTGAACCTCCTAATAAACATTTGTCCTGGAGTTACTCACTACTTTTAATTTGAACTATTTTCTTCCCACAGAATCTATCACCTTCTAGCATATTAAAAAAACAAGTTCGAGAAGGAAGAGATTTTTATCTGTTTCATTCACTGCTCTATATCCAGTTCTTGGCACAAAGGAGCCACCCAGTGAATGTTGGTCCAGCCAATACTTGTTGAGGGTCTCTCGTGTACCTACTCCTGCGCCATTCTCACAGTTGTTGCTGTGTTTGAGCCCATTGCTGCGCTGTGTCAATCCATCTCACTGAAGATCTTTTGTGCACTGACCTTCTACGTAACCAAGTATAATGTTCTTTTCCAGGGACCGCCCTCTCCTGAGAAGACGTCCAAAGTGTGTGAAACGAAGTCTTGCCATCCTGACTTCTACGGAGCATTCTGGCTGTACCTCCTTCAAGTCACCCCTATTTGTTCTTCTGGCAGTCCATGGTACTTTCCATATGCTTCCCCCAAACCATAATTCACAGGAATCAGTTTTTCTCTGGTATCCCTTACTCATTGTCCAGCTCTCACATGCATATCAAGCAATAACAAGACCAGGGATTTGCACAGATTGTACTATTGTCCTTGAAGTACCATCTTTGCTTTTTAACATTTTAAAAAAGTATCGTACGTCAGGTCTTCCAAGGTAATATCATTTTCTTTCTTGATTGCTGCGTCCATGAACATTGATTTTGGATTTGAGCGAAAGGAAATCTTTGACAGCTTCGATCTATTCTGTGCTTATTGTGATGTTTTCTATTAGTCCAGGTGTTAGGGGTTTTGTTTTCATTTTATTGAGCCTAACCCATACTTCTGGCTAGGCTCTTTGATCTTAACCAGAAAACGCTTAGCTTTCAGTGAGTAAGGATGTGTCCATTAAGTATCGCAGGCTGTTGGGCCTTCCTCCAAGCCTGATGCCCTGCTCTTCTTTAGTCTAGCTTCATGGATTCTTTACTCAGCATAGGAATTAAGTAAGTATGGAGAAAGGATAGTACCTGAACCTTTCTTGATTTTAAACCATGCAGTATTTCTTTTTCCGGTTGAACAACTGCTTCTTGATTCATGTACAGCTTCCACGTAATCACAACATAATTTCTGGAACTGTCATTCATTTCAAGGATATCCATAGTTTGTCATGATCCATATAGAGGAATGCCTTCACATGGCCAGTAAAACACATTTAAACATCTTTCTGGTATTATCTGCTTTTAGCCAAGGTTCATCTGATGTCAGCAATGATATCTCTGGTGCCATGTCTTCTTCTGAAAATAGCATGGTTTTCAGGCAGCTTTCATCAGTGTACTGCTGGCAACCGTTGTTGAATTACCTTCAGGAAAATTTCACTTGCATCTGATACTAATAACATCACTCAAACAGACTCAAATCAAACCAAACACATTGTGATTGAGTCAGTTCCTACACAGAGCAAGCAACCCTCTAGGGAGGAGTAGAACTGGCCCCATGGGTTTCCGAGACTGTAAATCTTCACAGGAGTAGACACTTTCTTCTTTCTCCCACAGAGTCACTGATGGTTTTGAATTGCTGACCTTGTGGTTATCTGCCTTATATATAACCCACTACACTACTAAAAAAATGAAACAAAACACCAAAAACTCATTCCCATTGTGTTATTCTGATTCCTATGGACACTTATAGTTCAGGGTAGAATTTCCCCTATGGGTTTTTGATACTTTAACCCTTTGTGGAAATAGAAAGCCTCATTTTTTTCCCAAGGATTGGATGGTGGCTTCCAACTGTTGATCTTGAGGTTATCAGTACACTGTGTAGCTCACTAACCCAAACCTAAAACATATTTTCCAAGAGACTACACCTTTTATTTAGTTATTGGCTACCTTGTTAACCAACATTTTGGATTTATGACAATACAGGAGAGCTTCAAAAAGTTTGTGGCAAATAATAAACTTTGGTATAGACACGCACAATGGAATGCTATGCAATATTAAAGAATAACAATGAACCTGTGAAATACCTCATGGCATAGATGAACCTGAAATTACTCAAACACAAAAGGACAAATATTGCATGAGACAATTGTTATTTTTTAAAATTTGGAATTAATACATATATCATATCATTCCATAGTTCAATTACATCAAGCAGTATTGTACAATTGCTACCACAATCAGGTTCCAAGCATGCTTTTTCTTTCTGGACTCCTTGACATGGTTCCCCTGTTACTCACCCACCCACCACCCCCAGCACCACTGTACCCTCCACCACGACCACCCGGAAACCCTTATTCTACTTGCTGTCCCTGTACCTTCATCAATCCTGGGGTTCATACACTGAAAAATATATAACAAAAATTCAAGAGGGTGACCCCCAATGACATAATACATCTGAGATTTAAAAATCAAGAAAAGTTTTCACACTATAAGAAAGAGGCTTTTAAGATTAATAGGGGTGGGAGGGAAAGGGACACCACAGGCTGGAGGGCAGACAGGTGATATTTGGGTGAAGGGGAAAACAATATCCAACAAGAGGGCGATGGGGAGAAAATGATGGAGACAGGGTAAGACAATGGGTAATTTGATGAATTGTTGTAAGTAAAATTGATGATCGACTTACTCTGTAAACCTCTTAATTCACAGTAAAAATTGTTTTCAAAAGTTCATGGAAAGATGGAAAGAGAAGATACTAGAATTTTTCTGCAAACTTTGTTAAGCCTCCTTGTCGTAAAAACAAACAAACCCCTACTATCCAACTATTTTAAAGATTAATGACTGAGTTCGTTAAAGTTTATTGTGCCCACCTGGCCAATAAGCACATATGGGGTTAATTGAAGGGTGGAGAGATAAATGGCGCAGTGAGCCTTGCCTTTCTAGTTCTTGGGTCTCTTGCTTTGTAATGGTCGGACCAGGGTGTAGCTGCCATAGCCAGTTCCCTGCTTCAGCTGGCAAGGCTCACTTCCTGCAAGACATCCCCGAGGAGAAGCCACATGGATCTACCCCGATACAGCCCTGGGTGCTGGAGCAGCCATGTAGAGACCCCTGTCAGCACTGAGATGATTACACATTCACTGATTTGGCTTTCCTTCTGCAGTCAGCATCATAGTGTGTGTTATGTGAGGTGGAGGAGGACTTTGTGGATTGGTATCGGACATATGGGTTAATGTTGGACTTGTGGGCTTGGGGAGCACTGGGTTGGGATGTTTTCTTGATGTGCACTTAACCTTTACGTAAAACCCTCTCATACATGAGTTTCTGTGGATTTGTTTCTCTAATGGACCCAGACTAACACAATGACATATGTCTGTCACTAATGAATGCCGAGGTACAAGAGTCATGATTCTTAGTAGTTTGGCGGTTATGTCTTGATGTAATTTGCAAGTCATGTAATGATATAGCTATCCTCCATTTTGTGATCATATCTGGTCATCCTCTGTTTCCTTACAATGCTGATTTTTGCATAAAGAGCTGGTCTTTGGAATCTAATGAATGAAAAGTGGGTGTGTTTAATAAAAGGTAATATTTTCACAAAATACTTATTCCATCTTCTTCCTTAAAAACCAAACTCAAAGCCATCAAATAGATTCCACCTCATAGTGGCACTGGTAGGATAGAACAGAACTGCTCCTTGTGGTTTCCAACTCTGTAAATCTTTATGAAAGCAAATGGACCCCTCTTTTGCCTTTGGGATGGCTGGTAGATTTGAACTGCCAATCTTTTGATTAAAAGTCCATTGCTTAAATCATTGAACCACCAGGATTCCTCTCCCATAAAAGTGTCCCTTAAAAAGAAAATCAATATAAAATGTAATTTATTATGTGTTTGTAGTATATGTCACTTGTCTTCACCATGTACTTCATATTTTAATAACTATATGGAAAATAAAACTATAAAGATGTCAAGGTTCTTCTTTTCCCTATTTAAACTGTATATACTCGAGTAGAAGCCGACCCGAATATCAACCGAGGCACCTAATTTTACCACAGAAACTGCATTAAAAAAGTGCTGAAAATCTAGGCTTATACTTGAGTATATGTGGTAGTTTAGAAAAATGTAATACCGTTAACTTGTGAATATTTGTGAAAGTAAAATAGTCACTAAAAATAAAAAACTTCTAAACTAAGAGTTCTTTCTTTACCCCCTTGTTTATATATCTCTTGTGTACCTTTTTTATTATTTTATTGGGGGCTCGTACAACTCTTATCACAATCCATACATACCTAAACGTTTTTATATTTACTTAAATCATGTGGCCATTTAAATTTTGACAATACAAATACCATCTTTGAGCCTGCCCCTGTCCATTCCTTTTGGCTTTGAGCTTCCTACAAGGAGCTAAAGAAGCAGGAGGTTCAGTAATAAAAAAACACCCTTCTACCATTAACTAGCATAAACAGCATATTCTGAGACATGGACAGTTCAATCCTAATCCTGCCCTGTGGAGTGATTGAGTCCCAGATACTGGGAAACTTTTCATGTTAGAGCACTTACTCTATTGATGCCTGAAATCACACTCTGTGTGCTTGGGGCTGGTGGCCTTTGAGTGATTGGAGTCCTATGATTGCTCCAGCGACCTTTTGAGGGCCCAGAACCAACTTCTTGGTCATTGATATCTGATGAACCGGTGCTCCCCCTAAAGGAGAAAACATATTTTGACTTTGATATGAAAACAGAGAAGGCAAGCGAAAACTGAGAAGGAAAACAATGACAACATAGGCACTTCATGAAGTATAAAAGAGTCACACTGAGACCGCTCAGAAGTTATCATGTTTCCTTCCTCTCCAGAGACTTTCAGGAGATCACTCAAACCCTTTTGCCTGATACCCGTGTCTTTGTAATTGAGCTTCAATCTACCTTTACAACTTTATTTCCCATTGCTATGCAGTATTCTCTCAGCTGATCTAAGTTTCTTACTATTTTTTTAATCATTTTATTAGGGGCTCATACAACTATTATCAAAATCCATCCATACATCAATTGTTAAAGCACATTTGTACATTCGCTGCCCTCATCATTCTCAAAACATTTCCTCTCCACTTAAGCCCTTGGCATCAGCTCCTCATTTTTCCTCCTTCCCTCCCCACTCCCTCATGAGCCCTTGATAATTTATAAATTATTATTTTGTCATATCTTGCCCTGTCCGATGTCTCCCTTCACCCACTTTTCTGTTGTTCATCCCCGAGAGAGGAAGTTATATGTAGATCCCTGTAATCCCACTAAGCTTCTTGATCAGTTTCTCTGGCCTTTTTGCTAGTCTTTATCTATTCAAGTCTGCCCTATCCTTTCAGGCCCAGATAAATGGCAGCTTTCTGAATCAGTCCTTCCCATCAAGTGCGGGCCTTGTCCATCTCTAGTCAGTTCCTACTGAGTTATGGTCCCTGCCAGACTATTTGGCACTTGACTTCATGATATCATTTATGATGCCCCAAGCAATCCATTTGTGTTAGCCTTGGAGCTCCCAGCTTCTACGGGATAGAGGCCATGTCACATTTACCATGACATCTCTACCACCTTTGTAATGGTTTGGTGCAAAGGAGCATCTCAGTACACACTTCATTGATGATTATAAATTATATTTTATTTCTCTGTATTCTTTTAGTGTCTAACCCATGATACACATTTAATAAATGGATTGCTTAGGGAGTCAAAAATGATATAAAACATGTAAACATTTGTCGCAAGACTCTGAAACATTTTTATGTTTGCTGAAAGTGATTCAATTCCATTCAGTGATGATTGATGAAAAAGTAGGTCCTGCCTTGGAGACCGCTTTATTTTTCTTATTAAACGGAGCATCAGAAGTGAATATTTGTTTTGTGAAATTACACTAAGAGAAGTATTCATTTTTTTTTATTTATTGCCCTCAATGGGTTCAAATTAGGCCACGTAGGAAAGTATAAGCCCCTATGTGTTTCTATCCATTAGTATTTTAATGTTATAAGAATTAGTGCATTTATGATAGATCATTAATAGTGATTAGGACATATTCTAGGGCCAATGAAGGCAGAGGCTAAAAGAGTAAGTGAAGGAATGATGTTAAAAAGAATATCTAAATGTGCACATGTCATTACCAGAAGACACATCTGACAGAAGAATGAGGAGACGCTCGCTTCAGGAACTGTCAACTGCATCAGATAGGTTTTTAAAGGCTAGGATTCAGAGAAGTCACCGAAATTGAATCTGACCTGATTGACACTACCAGTCACCACCATCACTCAACAATCATTAAATAGCAGATACCATTTACTGAGTATCAATTTCCATACCCAACAACCTTGTAGGATCACTATGAATCAGATTGCACATATGAATTTAGATTCATATGTCATTGATGGCAATACATTTGGAGTTTTGAAGTTTTAATGGCCTCATAAAAATGTATGACAATCCTTACCTTGAAGATGAAAAAAACTGAGCCTTGGAAAGGTTAAGTAACTACTTCATCCATACAGTCTCATACACCAAGTTGTCAGACAGTATGGAGCCCACCCAGGCCTGTGTCCATTCTAGCTTCTCAGACTACTTCCTCATCATTTCCTGCACGAAGGTCATTGAAAGGGTAGAACTGGAAGTTCTTTTGTTTTTTAATTTGCTTATGAGAACCATGGAAAACATCTGGCCAGCATCCTTTTGTACTCCACTGAATGAGCCCCTGGCTTTCCATTTCTAGAGAAAGCATGCGGAATACATTACATTACTATGGATCCTATTCAGGAGCCTGTGTCTGTGTCTTTGGATTTTTGATGATCAGACAATAGAGTTTTGTCATTAAATAGATGTGATACAATTTGATGACTGTTTTTTGGTGATTTTTCTGAGTTTTCTCACTACAGTTCCTACATGTCTAAAATTTGCTAGTTAACCATCTTCAGACCTTTCTAAGTGTTCCTGTTCAGCTCAAGCCTCCATAGGTCCTACTGGCAAGGGCCTTAAAGGTCTATCTAGTAGAGCTGTGTTGTGACCATAGGTTCTCTACTTGCAAAACAATATTACTACAAACATTTCTCTTGCTACTAGTTGAGGTTTAACCTCCTCAAAAAAGAAAGGCTATGAATGAATCTTGAGGCAAGAGCTTTTGATATCCAAAGACGCTTCCTGTGGTTGTGCTGAAGATCCTCCCAGGCTCAGGCAGTGTTAAGGAAAGTCCCACTACGGACGAGCCCTACTGACTCCAAAAGTCCTCCTTATATAGAAGCCCTTGCAGAAATGGATTCATACTTTTAATACTCTGTATTAAAAGTCAAAAATTCCTGTGTTGCAAGTCATCTGCTGAAATTATTGCTGCCGGCAGCATTATCACACACAAAAATGACATCTACTTTCATATTTGTTCCTGGCATTTACTGAATGCTTCTGAGGAAAGTTTTCCTCTCAGTTGGTTGCTTCCGTTGGATTAAACTAAAGAAAACCTTAGTCCAATGAGGCAGATTATTATTAACATTTGGGTGCCAGCTCTTTTAAATATTTTATGCCTTAAAGGCCATGAATCTTTGCCAAGTGGAGGCAACAGGAAGCAATATAGGAAGAGGATAAAAGCTTCTTGAAGTCTAAATTGATATAATAGGAGGTTAAAGGTCAATAAAGAACTAATTTTGATTCATATGTCATGCTGTTGCTATTGAAATGAGTGTTATAAATCAGTGCAAAAACATTGAAAGAAGCATTTGACAAATGGGATACTAGCAAGAAAGTAACACATGTATCTCATTACAATGGAGTCCAAAGTATAGAATTATGACCCTTTGTTGCAATATTTATCTTCTTTGGGCTTTACCTTTGGTTTTTGGAAAACTAACCTTAGGGGATTTCATAAGTAAGGTTAAGGTGAGTTGACAACCCTTGAGTATGTTTTGGGCATCAGACTGGCAAAGTAGCCTAACAGAATAACTAATAAAAAATGCATGGATTGGCTGATAAAACCCTGGAACACAGGGGCTCAAGGAACTTCTTCTGTATTCATTGCTGTCTGCCTGAGAGCTACCCTGGTTGATGAAGGAAAGGACATGCTATCCTTGGGGAAAAGGACATGCTCCACGTGGAGGACTCTTTTGGACCTTGCCTGTGTACCTCTTCCTCATACTGATCTCAAGTTGTATCATTTGGCTCCTGAGTTGTATCCTTTTATCCTAATAAAACCCATATCTGTAAATATAACCTGTGAGTTCTGTGAGATTTCGCAGTGAATTATCAACACCAATAGAGAAAGAGTGTTGTGTGTAGGGAAAACGACTGGTGTCAGGATGGTGGGGAAATTGAAGAGTGGGAGATGTACTTGATCCCTACCTTCCAAAGTCCTACTTTTTTGCTGCTCCTCCTTCAAGAAGTTATCAATTTATATAAGGGTCAGGTGAGCTTTGAGATATTTTGGGATACTCAAAAGATAAATTACCTAATGTATCAAAGAATTTCTCATACCTTATCAGTTTTGTTTGTTGCCATAAAGTTGGTTCCAACTCAGAGTGCAACAGAACGAAACACTGCCTGGTGTTGTGCCATGTTCACAAAGAAGTACCTTACCATAGGTTATGAAATCTACTTTTAAGAGCTTCAAATTTTTTATCTCTTGTTATCTCATGCTGGACAATCACACCAAAAAAATAAAAATTAAAAAAATAACTTTGATAATGGCTTCTCAGTTATAACCACTTCTGAATCAGGGACAAAGATGACAATTTAGTTAATTGCCTTCCTGATTTATATGTCTCCCAGGAGTTACAATTAGAAATGAATTTCCAATAACCCAACCTTCCCTGAGTGGGCTGACAATGCTGAGCCTATGATTGTGTGATTCAATGAGTACTCCCATGAGGCAGTGCAACTGAAGACAGCTTTTATGCCTTTTATGCTGATTTGAAAATTAAAACACTAAAACTCACTGGGATGATGACTCCCAGATAACACATGATATTCTTTCTGAAGTTTTTGTGTTTCATTAACTCCTTTTAGTTACTTTGGATCTAAAATGAATGTGTAGGGTAGATGAGCAAGAGATAGTTGAGATAGAAAGTGAGGCAAGCCTGCTAAATTAGAAAGAAATATTAAAGATGACAAGGTGAAGAAAAGAAACATCATGTAGCTCAAGTTCTCAAAGTGCTATATCTTTGCCAACAGACTTACAAGAGATGCGTGGCTGTCAACTGGGGTTGCATATCAGAACCACCTCTGGAGCGTTAAAAAATCCCCATGTCTAGGCAGCACAATTGAACAATCACATCAGAATCTCTGGGGGTGAGACCTAGGCATCAGAAATTTGTAAAGTTTCTCAGGTTTTTCCAATATGCAGCCAAACTTGAAAATCGGTGAGCTAAACTCGGAGAAGTTGAATTTCATTGATCGGAGACATCTTCCCCATCTGCACTGTCTACGCCCCTTGTTCCACGGTTTTCTTAATTCAGCACAGTGCTCACAATAAGAGCTGGCCTGGCCCTCGAGGCTCAGACTGGGTTAAATGAAAAGATACTTTCTGTAATAATGAGTAAATGTATTATAGCAGGGCTCAACAAACAAAGGCCCAAAGAGCAAATTAAGTCCACCTTTTTTGTTTGGTTTTGGTTTTGGTATGTTTAATGAGTTAAAAGTGGTCTTTAAGTTTTTGAAATGGTGGGAAAAGACGAAAATAGTAATAATATTTTG